ACTGCGAGACGCGCCCGAGCGTGGAAACACGCCTTCCGCGTCTTCGGGCGAGCCGCCACAAGTAGCGGCCCGCCGCGGTCGCCTACAAGGCGCATCACCACCACCAGATGCAGTTGATGAAGGAGACCGACTGCGGAGAGCTACGAGGAACCCTCTGGCCTCAACCGGCTCGGGGGCTCCACGGCTGCCCGACTGGACGGGCCTTGACATCCAACGCAGTCTGCAAAACTTCCGTAGTCACGAACCTCACGTAGTCAAAAAAGGAACTCCGCAAACTGCATTTACGGTGGTATCATGCGAAGGAACCCAAGATGAGGCTGATCCTAGATAAAGTGGGACTGGATAGCGTTCGATTAAATATGATCAAAGAAATCTGTGACACATGTCTGGAATGTAGAGCATGGGAACGTCCAGGTATTTCTACGCTACCTTCCGTAAGCCTTCCTGGAAATTGGCTTGACGAAGGCGGAGTAGATCTCATATTGCACCAGAAACAGACCATATTTCATATTATGGACCGATGCATCCGCCTGGCAGCATGCCAAGAAATTCCTGATAGAGAACGCGGCACTATACTCGACGCCTACCACTACTGCTGGATCGCCTATCATGGACCCTTCAAAGTCTTGTATTCAGATGGAGAAGGTGCCCTCAATAATGAAACTGCCAAGGCCATGATGGCGAACACAGGTACGACACTTCGTATCCGAGCGCCTGGCGCCAACGCGCGACCTCGTTCGAGTCACGCAACGGCATCCTTAGGGGCACGCTCCATATGATCGAGGAAGAATTGAACAGACACAACATCCCCATTGTATTTACTAGAGTACTGGCTGAAGGCATCTTCGCCACCAACGCTTTCACGTCTTACAACGGAGTATCGCCGTGCCAAGCACACTGGGCGACAGCCCTCTTTTCCTCCTGACCTCGACACCCTTGACTTCCCTAAGGGACCCGAGACGTCAGGCCACGAACGCGATAGCCGTGTAAGGGAAGTTAGCCTGGAAGCAATAACTCAAGCCACGGCGGTAGCTAAGACAAATCGTGCTCTCAGGGCTAAGACGGCCCCAGATGGTGCTCGCCTGTGCTCAGCTGGGGACATGGTCGATTATCACCGACCTACAGCCACTAAGGGCGACCGTGGAGGCTGGAATGGCCCGTTTCCTGTGATTCGTAACGTGCCTGAACGAGGACACGTCGTTACGGCAGGATCGCGTGAGGTAATTGTAATGTACCCTGATGCTCGCCACGCGCTATACATTGAATGCCTTCTTACCAGGGAACTTGGCATGGACAACGTGGCCATGCAAACCGTCCGTGCACATGTGGCACACCTTGGTGCAGGGAAACCTGCCAAAGTCTTTGGCTATATTCCAGACTACACGGGAAACCTCAATCTTTCCGACGGCAGCAAGGTTCACCCGCGCGTACACCTTGCACTGCAGTATCTCGTGCGAAATTATTTCCGAGTTGAACGTGTTGTAGCCGTGAGATTGGCCAAGAGCGTGTCCAATCTACCTGCAGTAAAGTACGCTACCGGGTCCACACTGATCCACTACGACAGCGATGCTAACCCAGCCTTTCACTATTATGAGTGTGTAGGCACCTGCCTGAACATCTCTCAAATCACTGGTAGCACGCATTCCAGACTCATCCAGTGCCTGACGTCAGAAGTTCCCCCCCTGGGATTTCATGACGACCTTGCCAAGAATCAGCACTTAGGCAACGTCTGGAGAACACGACCAGCCTGGAGACAGGCCTCCTCCAGACACCCCAGGTGTTTCATCACCAAGTGAAGGTCGCCTGTCTACAATCTACGAAGAAAGCGAGGAACACGACATCGAGGCTATGATGATGGAGGAGTGGTACGATGAGCTACGTATGGGCCTTCATCCCACAACGGTTATCGACGACTATCTCCACTGCGTCCCAACAACCATGCTGCCCGACCAATGTGTCTTGGTCTCAGCTTCTGTGGACGAGGAAGATACCGTGGTGTCGGAGATGCTCGGAGACGAGCCCGAACTACAAGAGCCCTGTCTTGTCTCTCTATGCTCGACTACACCTGACGAGGGCTATTCTCTTGATAGTGATGAACATGGTCCCTATGTCGAGCTATGTTTCACGCCAGAAATGTCAAAGGTAGTACTGGATCAGACCCAACTTGCACAGCTCGAAACAGACATGGTCGCAACGATGAGGGTATATGTATCATCGGCTGCTAAACGTGCCGTGGTAGTCAAGGAAGACGACCTACTCACCAAAGCCGATATAGCAGCACATTCTAAAGCGGTCAGTGAAGCCTTGTACACCGATTTCAAGATCTGGCTTGACAACCGATGCTTTGAGATGCATGACCTATCAAAAGCTTCTAACATCATGACATCCAGATATGTATACAAGTGGAAGTTTGTGAAAGCATGCACCGAGAATGTTAAAACCATCCGTCTTAGACTTGTCCTCCGCGGATTCATGGGCACGGAGGCTTTCGATGTAGAAACCTTTTCTGGAACTGCTCGTAGATGGTCCCAGAGACTTCTGGCAAGTGAGGCGGCATGCCATCCAGAATGGATCTTAGCATCTATGGACATCGACAAAGCGTTCCTCAAAGGACTGACATATGAGGAACTTGCTCATGCCACCGGCGAGGAAACTCGGATGGTTTGCTTCGCCCTTCCACCAGGAAGTGCCCAGGTGCTTCGTGCACTACCAGGCTTCTCGTCTTACGATCAAAGCCGACACTGCCTCAGGTGCCTCAAGCCAGGAACGAATGCAAAGGGCGCCCCAAGAGCGTTCTCCCTCAAGCTTCGTACGACTACGCGAGCTATAGGCCTTGCACCGACAAGCTACGATCCTGAGTTTGAACTCAGTCAGGATCTGTTAACGGCAAAACATGTCGACGACATCAACATGACAGGCCTAGAGAAAAACGTAGATGACGATGTACAACGTGTAGAAAAGGTGTTTGGTACATGCAAGCTCAACAAACATTATTACACGAATTGTGCCGTTCGCTGCACGAAGAATGAGCAATGGGATGTGATCATGGACCAGGACGAGTACATTAAACAACTACGTCCTATCACACATCCTGAACTTACGGGAGCAGCGGCAGACGCCAAAGCTACCAAACTTATCACCGACATGTTCGTTAGCTGTGAGGAGCTCTCGCCTATGCCCTTCTTTCTCAAGTCTGGCTCCTGGTGTATGTGGTCTCTTTCCAGAAGATCCAAGAGCCCGCCAACTTACATGTCAGACGACTGAATGCTGTGACGCAAAAGCTGATCAGCAGCCCGAAACGCATCACCTTCCCTCGGATGAAACCGACGAGTGAAGTAGACATACACAGTGATCCGGAGTATCGGCTATTCACCGGGGAGGAGGACGTTGAAACTAAGGGCTACGGTATTCGCGGGGCTAACGTATTACGGCGAGGAAACTCGCCTCAAGGCAAATCCGTCGCTCACCTTTGCGACGGACCATGCAAATCACACCGACTGCAGGTGAGGTCAAGTTATGCCGCTGAGGCACTTGCAGCTGCACATAATTTTGATGAGTGTTATCCCACGCTCATCACTCTCCACGGGCTCAAGGCCGGAGCACTTACTCCACGACAACTACGAGATATGCGTGAAGTTGGAGGCCTACCTATCAATTTATCCCTTACTATAGGCGCTGAATATGTATACCAATCGCTATCCAGCAAAGACCTTAAGATACCGACGGAACGTACTTTGCTGGGGCAGATCAGCTGGATACGTGAGCTCATGGATATAGGTATAGCGCATAACGTACAGTGGTGTGACACTAGAGATACAACCGCAGATGGGCATACAAAGGGGAGTATCGATCGGGAGCTGCTTTTGGAAGTGATGTCAGGCACTCAGTCATTTGAGTATGACGTGAAGCAGTTTGTTCCCTGTCGAGGCCCCGAGGACAAACACAAACCTAAGTCGAATCAGTCTTAGTCTGTCCTTGTTGCCCCCGCGGCCCAGTTTGCCAGCACGGGCGCCTAATGCAGAGGCGCCCTCCTATCTGCTCGGAAACGAGCCATGCTTTTCACGCTTGGCAGCGAGCCTGTTCAGTTTGGTTCAGGCCCTTTGCCTCAATACCTTTTCGCCTGGAGGGGAATAGCCTGTTTGGCTTACCTCTAGCCGGGCCGATCGCCCTTGGATATCCAAGGGGCTATCCTGTGTGTGCGTGGAAAAGTTTGCGAGGAAGGTCGCCGGCGAATAATCTCGCCCTTCAGTCTGGTGGTAGACCAGACTGCGCGCACTGTTTTCCTTGCAAACAGTTGCGCGCGCGGCCTTTCTAGAGCCTAGCGGCTGCGCGGCCTTGCTCTCCGTCTCCCCCCCCCCCCCCCCCCCCGACTTTAAGGGTTGCTCGTTGGGAGATGTTATAGAGGATCGGGAGTGTAGCCTGCGCGCCGCTGCTTTGGCTCAAGGCGCGCGCGCCCTATTTGCCCGGACACTTGCCATAGTGTTCGCTATGTGCTGGAAAGATCACTACATCGATCTTATCCCATCCTATCAATCCACTCCCCATATCGTATTCCTTCGACATGGAATTGGATGTTATATGACCTGCCAGAGTCATTTCAAACTGCGGCCATGGGTTTCGAGGAATTCCTCCGCGCCTTCCGCGGAGGTCGGAAGGCATAGTGCGGAGGGTGGAGGTGTAGGGGTAGGCCTTCTCGGACGGCGGAGGGGGCTCCTCAGCAGTCCCCCAGCCTCCGAGAGCCTGCCTCCGCCTCCGAACAAGGCCCCTAGGCTCTGCAGCAGCCCGGAGGCCCCCAGAGCTGTCGGAGAGCGGGGCCCGCGCCGCCTGCCCCCCCCCCCCCTCCCGGGGCGCGCCGCCGATTGCCCCGCCTCCGCATCCTCCGATCCTCCACCCCCCGCCTCGCAGGCTGCCCCCTTCCCTCCCTGGCCGGCTCCAGCAGGCCGCGCGCCGGTGCGCTCGGCCCCCCGCGTTCCCCCGCCGAGCGGCCCTGGTGGCGCGCCATGGTGTTCTACGAGACGACGTTCCTGCTGCACGGCAAGTACCCCGCCGAGGCCGGCGGTGGGCTTGGCCACAGGGGGGAGGCGTCCCGACGGGGGCCGAGCATCAGAAGAGGAGGACGTACGCGGTAGGTTCCCGTCGTGTCGACTGACGGCGACCCCGCCGGCGGCGTTCAACGTTGAGCGGCGCCGGCGACCCAGACTCGGCCGATGTTGCACGATCTGACGTTTCGGGAACGGCCGACAGGGCTGAATGATCCCCGCGGTGTCAGGAACCAACGCCAAAGTCGGCACGACACGAATTTGCCTACCTCGGCCACGCTGATTTGGGGGTAGGGGGAGGGGGTAAGGCTTCATGGAAGCACCCCTGCTTCTCAGAAGGCGCGGGCCTTCTAGGATGCGGCCTCCTACGAAGAAGCCTTCCCCTCCCCCTGCCCCCCTCTGCGCGCCGCCAGCTTCCCGATACTGCAGCCCTCCCCCTCATTCTTCCAGACCTTCCGCCCGAGCCTTCCGCCCCTTTTTCGTTAATGTCTGTGTGGGTGTCCTTGAATTGGAATGAGCGCCAGGATGCCCTCGTAATTGAAAAGGAGGGGTGTGCTTGCAGAACTCCCTCCTCCCCTCCCCCCCTCAAAGGGGGGGGGCGTATTCGGACCCCCCCATACCCCCCCTTTCAAAAGGGGGGGGGAGGGTTTCGGACCCTCCCCACCATCCCCCCCTTTGGCTCTGGAGAGGGGGGGGCGATTTCGGGCCCCCCCCTCCTCCTCTTTGCGCAGGACAGGGGGGGCAGGAGGGAGGCCCTCCCCGCTCCGGAGCGCCAGTGCGGTAGGGCCAGGTTGTTCGGGTAGGGGCTGGGGCCAGGGTGGTCGGGTTAGGGCGCAGGGTGGTAGGGCTAGGGTGCCATGGTTAGGGGGTTAGGCTTAGGGCTAGGGTGTTCGGGTTAAGGTCTTAGCGTGCGGGTGTGAAGGTTCGGGTGTTACGGTTAGGGAGTTGGGGGGTTCGGAAGTAGGGCTAGGGTTAGGGGTTAGGGCAGGGTTAGCGTTAGGGTTTGTATTTGGGGTGAGGGTTTGGGTTTGCGCTTAGGATTAAGTTAAGGATTGAAAGTTCGGCTTAAGGGTTAGGGGTTAGGAGTCAAAGTCAAGGTTAGGTTTGGAGGTTATGGGTTAGGATTTCGGATAGGGTTAGGGGCAGGGTTAGAGTTCGGGTTAGGGGTTATGATTAGGGGTTCGGGGTTAGGGGTTAGTGTCAGGGCAGGGGTGAGTGTTAGGGTTACGGTTTAGGATTCGGATTAGGGTCAGGAGTTAGGGTTTAGTTTAGTATTAGGGGTTGAAATTGGGGTTTAAGGCAGGGGTTAGGGTTAGGGTTCGGGGTTAGGGTGAGGAGTTAGGGTAGGGTGACTTTTAGGATTAGGGATTTGTGTTCGGGATAGGGTGTAGAGTTTGGGCATTAGGGTTAGGGCTATGGGGTTCGGGTTAGGGGTCAGGGTCGGGGTTAGGGTTAGAGTTAGGAGTTCGGATTAGGGGTTGGGGTTGGAGGTTGGGGTAGGGTTCAGGGTAGGGGTTTAAGGTTCGGGTTTAGGATTAGGGTTGGGGGTTAGGGTTAGAGGTTAGGGCGTAGGGTTAGGTTTTAGGGTTTAGGGTTAGGGTCAGGGGTTAGGGTAGGGTTTCGGATTAGGGGTCAGGGGCAGGGTTTAATGTTAGGGTTTGTGTGTTAGACGTAAGGGTTAAGGGTGGGTCAGGGTTGTGGTTTAGGGTTAGGGTAAGGGGTTGGGATTCGGGTTTGGAGTTAGGGTCAGGGGTTGAGGAGAAGGGTAAGAGTAGGGGTGCTAGGGTTTAGGGGGTTAGGTTAGGGGTTAGGGTTTAGGGTTAGGGGATTAGGGTAAGGCTTAGGGTAGGGGTTTGTTAGGGTCAGGGTGAGGAGTTAGGGTTAGGGGTTCGGGTTATGGGGTAGGGGTTAGGGTAGGGGTTAGGGCTAGGGTCAAGACTCCCTCCCCGCTCGCAAGCCGCCTAGCGCACTCCCACCCGCTCTCCCAACACAGAAGTACTACCCGAGCCTGAGCATGTTCAGGGGCCGTCTTTGCTTGGGCGAGGTGCGCCACGCGTGCCAGGGGCGCCACGCGCGCCAGGCACCCCTGGGGCCCGAGCGTGACAGGCACGCCAGGTGTGCCGCACACTCCAGGTGCAGAGCGCGTCAGGTGCGCCTGCGGACGTGACAGCACACATCGGGAACCATGTCGGCCCCCGCTACCCTTGTCGAAAACCAATGTTCATCATTGTTTCTGGTGGGCCTGCGCACCGAAGGCCACGCGCCACCACCCCCGCCAGCCCCTTTCAAAAACCAGTTGACAGTGATCGCGGGATGGCCGCGCATGATCCAGATTTAGCCGCGAGGTGCATGTTGTATTATTTTTTGTCAGGGATGGTCTCCCTGCGCACGGCAGGGAACATGCTGGCACCCCCGCCGTCCCGAACAAAAAATAATACAACCTGTTCGCGGGCCTCACGAACATGACTCAAGACTTTGCCCCAAAGCGTACTCTGCATTGCTTTTTTGATAGGGATGGTGGAGTGGCTGCATCGGGTTGGCCGCGCATGTTCCAAATGTGGAGGCAGAGTGCGGTTTGTATCGTTTTTGACAGGGGTGGTGCGGGGCGGGCCCTCATGGTGTCGGCATTGTTCCTGGTCGGACGCCGGCCGGGTGGAGGAGGGGGTGCATATTAATAAGGAACAGTGATTGAGGTGGTAAGGTTTGGGTGTCAAGGCTGGTGGGTCAGGGTTAGGGCTTTGGAGTTGAGGTAGTAGGGTGGTAGGGATTGGGTTCTGGAGCCAGGGAGGCTTGGCCAAATGGGAAAAAGAGGGGGGGTGCCCGATTTTCGAGTCCAAAGGGGGAGAAGGGGGGGTGGTCCACACCGCGCCCCCCTCCTTTTGATGAAAGGGCGGAAGGGGAGGGGTCCTGGACGACTGATCGGGAAAGGGGGAAGGGGGGGGGGTCCGCCGTCGCCGGACCGGGGACAGGGGGGGAGGCGGAGGGAGGATCTGGAACCCCCCCCCTCTGGGGCATCCAGCGGCCCGCCCTTCTTGAATTGCGTAGGGTCCTTAGGAGTTCTGGTGGGTTCCGCCGCACCTGCCGCGGAGGCCGGAAGGTATGGAAGGCACGAGGCGGAGGGGCGGGCCTTCCCTCGTCGCCACGGTTGGATCCGCTTCGAAGTGCCCGCCAGAGCGCAGCCTTGGAGAGGCGTTGCGGGCCGAAGCGGCGTCGGCACTTCCCCGCCTCCCCGTTGCTCCTCATCCGTTCCTGGGCCCCGCAGTCACTGGGGGGTGCCATCTTGGGACGGGGCCAAGACGAGGATAGCTTCGTTCCAGAATGTTCCGCGGCACTCTGAGGAGGCCGCGGCGCCCAAGCCCCAGACAGCCGCCAGAGCCGCGGGATCTCGGAGGTTCTCGACGTATCCTTCGGGGGTTGCTAAAGGTGCCCCCAGCTTTTCGCTCGATTACGGAGCCCCGGGAGCCGTCTGGGCCTCGTGGGGGATACTCTGGAGGCCGTTGGGGCCTCCTTTGAAATCCTGGGGGTGCCTTGGGCCACTTGTAGCAACACCCGAATCGTCACCCGATGTCATCCTCGTCCCGGCCTCGTCTTACAGTCGGACGGGCCGCAGCACTGCGCGCTGGGGAGTGGCGAGGCCCTGAACCCACCCTGCCTTCCTGGCGACCTCTCCCCACCCTCCGTTTGGAGGGGGCGATGGTCTAGTCCTCCCAGATGGGGTCCGAGTAGATGGGACCAGAGGATCGCGCCGCATCGCCGATGCATCGCCGATGCGGCTCGATGTGAAGCCCGATTTGCTTCACAACGACGCCGCCGATGCATCGCCGACGTCGACGACGCAGCGCCGGTGCATCGCCGATATATCGCCGATGTATCGCCGATGCATCGGCGATGCGGCGCGATCCTCCGACCCCATCCACTCCGACCTCATCTAGGAAGCCTCCAAGGTAAGTCGGGCCTCTCCCTCTACAGGAAGAATGTTCAAACATAGTTAGAAGATATTCTGGGTACGATGTTTTGACTCTATTTAACTATTATTGAGCATTGCTTCCGCCTGTTAGGGGGACGCCCTACCTGACTCCTAGGGCAGGAGCGACGCCCCAAAGCCGCCCTGCCTTCCTAGCGACCTCTCCCCACCCTCCGCTCGGAGGGGGCGAAGAGCCAGAGGGGGCGAGGACCATCGGTCGTCTCCGCGGGCTCCAGGGCGCCTCTGTCAGGCGATCGCACGCATGGATCAAGCTGGTTCCATGGGGAATCGCGGATTTCCGCCGCCGAACGAGGCGGCACCGGCCGCATTGGGGTTGGGTACCTCCCCCGATCCATGGATTTGGCGACCGCGCGCCAGATCCATGGATCGCTAATCCACGTTTTCGCGCCCCCGACTCTGGCTCCTCTCTGTCCCGCCCCTCCTCCCCTGCACGCTGTGCTACAGTCAGACCGCACAGTAAGGACGGGCAACCTTCTTAAGGGTACCCTTGCATCCTTGCCTCCTCGGCCCCCATCCCTGGCCGCTCTCGCTGGCCGCGCCCCGCTCGCAGGGTGCCAACATGGCCCTCCAGGGCCCCTGCATCCCCATCGTGCATCCTTCTGATATGGGTCGGCTGTGTACGAAGCGCTCCAAAACGTCCCACACCCGACCCCGGCGTCGAGGCCACGAGGCTCTTGATCAGGGAGGTGACGCGCGCCAGCCCGGCGGACGAAGACCAGCGCGGCGGGCCATCGTGCCGCCCCCCGCGCGGGTGGCGGCGCCGGCACGGCGCGGGCGCTTTCCGGGGGGGAGAGGCCACCCAAGGGCGCCGCCGCTGTGGCCTTTTTCATCCGCGGCCCTCCGCCTCCTCCTCCTCTCGGGCCTCGGGGGTGGACAGACCTCCTACCCTGACACGTCGATTGGTGAATTGTCCGTTTTCGGTTCTCGAGGAGCGCCGCGGCCGTCATTTTCCAGGCTTGAGCCCGCCAGGTTTGGGCCCGAGGTCGTTTTCACTAAACTTCGTTTTCCTAAAGGGGGTTCTGTCCATCCCCGATCCTCCTCCTCCTCCTCCTCCTCCTCCTCCTCCTCCTCCTCCTCCTCCTCAGTTTGCCCTCCCCCTCGGCCCCCTCCCCCGCCTTCCCCTCCTTCCCCCCGCGCCGCTCGGTCTTCGCCCCCACCCTCCTCCCTCCAGCCCGCCACGGCAGCACCACCCGAGGATCCCGGCCGCTCCCCCGGGGGGCAGCCGTGCGCCCCGGCTCCGCGTTGCACGGCCCCGGGGCTGGGGAGAGGCCCCCCCCCCCCCGAAAACGCCAGGCCCGAGGGGACAAGCGCCGAGCCCGAGGAAGCACAGACCGGGGGAGCCCGCGTCGTCGGAGGTCCGGGGCCAGCTGCCCGGACCAGGCTGCAGCGGTCTCCACGGCTGGACGGCGGAGATCGCTCGGAGCGGAAGCCCCTGGCGCGGTGTCCGAGGCCACTGGGGTCCACGGCCGAGGCGTCAGGAGCCAGCCGTGTCAAGGAGGTGTTCCTCAGGAGTGGGGTTCACCGGGGGAGGCGGTGAACAGGGCTCGTCCTGAAATTGGCCCCTCCGCTTCCTCCTGCTGCGGGTCCTCCTCCTCTTTCTCTTCCTCTTCCTCCTCCTGCCCGCTCTCTCGCGCAGTCGTCGCGGTCGTAGTCGCAATTGTAGTCGTCGTCGTCGATGTTGCGCGACGGGTGCCGCGAACAAAAATAGTTAGTTACTCCCTGTTGGTGGGACCCCAGTCCTTCCATAAGGCCGCCGGAAAATAATTGGTTACCCCCATATCTGGGAGGGGGGGACTCAAAAGACCTTTCATGGTTAGGGGGGGTAATCGGCTCACGGGGGGGGGATGCCTCGTTCCTGGGCCCAGGGTGGGCCTGGCCAGTGTTGGTGCAGGTGAAAAGTTCAGCACCACGCAGAGGGTGGCATGGAAGCAAGGGCGCCCTCGAGGGCGCGAAGTTATTCGCGCTTCGCGCTTGGCGGTTCGGCTCCGGTTCCTCCTCGTCCTCCTCTTCTCCCCTGGGAGGCGGCGCGAGGGCGCGAAGTTCTTCGCGCTTGCGCTTCGCGCAGCGCGAAGCGCGAAGTTGGGAGCCCTTGGGAAGAAAAATCCCGGGGGGGGGCTTGTCCAAGGGGATTTGTCCGGAGGGAGTGTCCGGATGCCCGCTTTGTTGTCCAAGGGGTCGTCGGGGACAGGTCGTCTTGTCGTCATCGTTGGGTGTCCGGATTGTCCGAGGGGTTGCCCAGGGAATTTCCTTCATCGGATTATTTTGCCATGGAGCACAGGGGCAAGGGGGAGAGGCGGTTTCTCAGAACACCCCTGCTTCTTAGAAGGCGCTGGCCTTCTCTATAGATGTGGGGCCCGCGCCTTCTAAGAAGCAGCCTCGTTCTAAGAATTCTTCCCCCTTCCCTCTAGAGTCGGGGCGCCGAAGAAGGCACCCTGTTCGTTGGGGACGGGCTCTGTGTTCCTCGGTTGCTTCACAGTTTGCTTTGGTTTTCCTGAGGTTTCCCATGGGGAATCGAAGTTTAACTTATGAGAAAAGGGACCTCGTTCCTTCTTTAGGGCTCCTTAGGTCAACGCCCCGACTGCACCCCCTCCTGCGCGCGCCGCCCAAGAGTTGGCGCCCTCCCAGCGCCAGATGGCAAGCCGGCAGCTGCCTGAGCCAGGCCGGCCTTCCGCGGCCTCCACACGGCCGGGCAGCGGCAAGCGCCCGAGGTCGGGACGCCTCGCGCGGCGTCCGGCCGCACGTGAGAGGGACCCCTCGCTGGGGTGACCTTTTGGTGCGGGCCCACGGGGGTCCCCCGACCGCCGACCGCGAGGCGGCAGCGGCGCCTTCCGCGCTTGCGTGTTGGCGCCCCGCGGCCACCCAACAGGCGCGCACCGGAGAGGTCACTCTTGCCCTGGGTCCCTGGCATCGCTCGGGCGTGTGCATGTTTTCTCGGCGAGGGCCATCGAGGAGAGTCCTTGATCATTTGGCGAAGAAGCCGCGCAAGAAACCGAAAAACACAGGGAATGGACGTCCGAGCGATGCCCAGGGTCCCTCTCACGTGTAGCCGAGGCGCGGGAGGCCCCTGCACCACGTCGGCGCGGCGGGAGCCAGTGAAGTGCCCAGCGGGGTGCCCCTCGGTCACCGAGCGCGTTCCGCTACCCGCACAATGCCTACTCGCGAATGTCCGAGAAGCACATGTTTGCCTCGACGTACTGGATCGTGCATCCCCCGCGGCGGATCCAGGCCATTTGCGAGTAGTTACTTTGCGAGCAGTGGAGCGCCCCTGTCTACTGCTCAGGGGCTGCCGACTTTAGGGGAGGGGGGTGACAGGCTCAGGGAGGGATGCATCGCAGTTTTCGCGTCAGGGGCAACGACTAGGCTCAGAGGGGGGCTGCGGGAAGTTCCGTCGGCTCAGGAGGATTTCCAGCCTAGGACGCATTCCAGCAGCTGTGCCTCGCCGAGAGGCGTCTGTGGGTGCCTGGAATGCCCCGAACGGCCGTCAGGGACCGGATTTATGACCCGAGGAGCAAACGAGACTGGCTCAGGGGAAGAGGCATCGTCCACTAATTGACCCATTTCTTGAGGGCGTCTTTTGGGTAGTTCTTGCGGCCCCTGGAAGGCCAACGCCAGCATTTTCGCCGGCCAAGTGTTGATGGCGTTGAGAACCCGTGCCATGCAAATTTGGCGCGCTGCGCAAATTCGTTTGCTGTGCACTTTGGGTGCATGTTGCGCATGTGCGGAGTGGCGGCCGAGCGCCCGTGCCAACCAATCGCCCTTCCATGTCTGACAGGGGCCCGATAGTCCACCCAGCCCGAGAACGTTCAGGGGCAACGATATGGGGGTATTGGCATTGGGGGGGTGCATCGATCCCCAATCGCCCAGTGTTCGCCGATAGAGGCCCGATAGCCCCACCCCGCCCAGGAAGGTACGGATTTGCTATCAGGTGCCTATCGCCGATCTATCGGCGATGTATCGCCGATTCCAGGTCGATGCATCCTCCCTATGCCAGTCCGCCCCTATCGTTGCCCCTGAAACGTGCGGATGTGCTGTCGGGGGCCTATCGCCGATCCGTCGACGATGTGTCGCCGCCGCCAGGTCGGTGCTTCCCCCCTTCCCCCCGAGCCGGCGTCGCCCCCAGCGGTCTCCCTGAGTTCCACAGCGGTGCCCCTGCCCCTCCTCCTCCTCCTCCTCCTCCTCCTCCTCCTCCTCCTCCTCCTCCTCCTCCCCGTCTGGGGCGGCTGGAATCTTCACGACCCCGTTGCAAGACATGGGGACGTGCGCGCGCGAGGGCTCCAGCGATAGACAGGCGGCCCTTGCCCCGGAGCAGTGTATTGACCAGTTGTGCTGTTTTTCGTCCGCCGGGCCATCACGGAGCGGGAGGGGTGCGTCTTCAGGATTCTGGACTTGGGGTGGCGCCACACGGCCCAGCCGGTGGTGAAGAAGCGCGTCGGGCGGTTTTTCTACGGCCGGTGGTACGCCATGACGTGGGCTGGCCCGCCCCTGGTGAGAGTGGAGATGGATGAGACCATGAAGCACAACTCTGGAGTGCTGAGGCACCTCACGGAGAAGCTCAGGACCCCCAAGGACTCGGATGTCCCCAAACAGCATGGTGAGCACACAAACGCACACACTGAGTCAAAGGCGGTCCAGGCTGGGTGGCCCGTCTTGGGTTTTCGGCAGTCCAAAGCTCCTGAACGCTCCAGAGCTGCCGCGGCGCCCGACACATTCTGCGACTCCGACGGCTCTCAGAAACTGCCAGGGCTGTCCCGCCCGAGGTCCCCTGCTTCTCGGCCGGCGTCTCAGGTTGGTCACTGGGCGGCGATGGGGCCCCGAAGGACGCATACAGGCCACGCAGCACCTTCTACCCGACGCTGGTGCCGGGCGAGAAGCCCATCGCCGGGCCGTTGGTGCACCACACCCTGATGTGAGCCGCGGCGCAGAGCGAGAGCGACTGTCCAAGGTGCCCCTTGAGTCCTTTCCCTTCTCGATCGGGGGTGGATAGACCTCCTACCCTGACACTTCGATTAGCGAATTGGCCGTTTTCGGTTCGCGAGAGGGCGTCGCGGCCGTCATTTTTGCTGGTCCAGGTCCGTCGGTTTCGGTCCTAGGCCGTTTTCACTAAAGGGAGGTTTGCTAAAGGCAGGTTTGTCCACCACCGACTCGACCAAAAAACAAACGACACCACCCCACCTGCGGCCATCCATGTTGCGCTACGGCCCATCGGGCGCCGTGGCGTATACCACGCAAAAGCCCGCGCCAGATTTCCAGGTGTACGCTAAGCCCCCTGGGGCCGTAGGTGCGGCGGTGTCGTTCGGTTTCTGGTCCACCTTCGTCCCATCTTTGGCCTCTTCGTTTGCCGCGCCCCGCTCGAAAAGTGTTGGCATGGCCCTCCAATGCCCTAGCACCCTCGTCATAGAGGGTTTCTCCGAAGGGCTTGAGCGACCCGTCCTCCTTGTTCTCCTCTCCTCCTCCTCCTACTCTTCCTCCTCCTCCTGCTCCTCCTCCTCCTCCTCCTCCTCCTCCTCCTCCTCCTCCTCCTCCTCCTCCTCCTCCTCCTCCCCCTCTTCCTCCATCTCCTCCCCCTCCTCCCCCTCCTCCACCTCCTCCAACTCTTCCTCATCCTCCTCCTCGGGTCGCCTACGGCCCCGGAGGGAAGCCGTGCACTTTCTCTCTCTCTCTCTCTCTCTCCCTCTCTCCCGGTGCCCTCCCCTGGCCGCAGGGCCGGCCGCGAGACGAGTACCCGTCGGTCGTCGAAAGCAGGTAATGCTGGATTCACAGATTCGATTCCAAGCTACGTTCAGCGCCTTCCTACCTCAATGGCCGAGTGGCTTCCCCTTTTCCGTCCTCCTCGGGGGGCGGACGGACCCCAATCTACTTTTCAACGCCTTCCTGCTTCATGTTTTCTGCCTGCTTCTTCCGACCGATGGGTGTAAGGATGGAGAGCTGGTTGCCTGTGGGGATTCGGACACCGCCTCCACTCGGGGCGCCGGAGACAGGGGCACAGCAAACGGTTCGGGGGCAACGATAGGGGGGGTAAGCATAGGGGGGCATGCATCGCCCCCCCCCCCGAACGCCCATTGATCGCCGAGAGGGCTCTGATAGCCCCACCCCGCTCAGGAAGGTGTGGATTCACCATCAGGGGCCTATCGCCGATCTGTCGACGATGTATCGCCGACTCCAGGTCGATGCATCCCCCCCTATGCCTATCCACCCCTATCGTTGCCCCTCAAAACGGGGTCGCGGGGAACGCCGATTTCCACGTTTGCTGATGCCGCCGTTTAGGATGCCCTTGGTGCCGTACACGGGGGCAGAGTAAACGGGGGCATACGGGAAAAGCCGGAGCCCCCGTTTAGTTATGCCGCCGTTGGCGAAACCCCGTCTCCGTTGGGACCTTTTGCAGAATCTCCCTCGTGGCAGTCCCACTTCTCCTGGCAACGCGCACAGGAGAGTTCGGCCACGCGCAGAGGGGGGTTAGGGGGAGGGGGAAGGCTTCTTAGAAGCAGCCTCCTTCTAAGAAGCCCCCCCTCCCCCTGACCCCTTTGTTCAGAGCCCCGAATCATCAGGGGTAACTCGGGTCAGGGCTAATTCGGGTTCGTTTTTCGGAAATCCGAACCCGAGTTACCCTGGGCCCGAGTTACCCCGGACAACTCGGGCGCCTATTTTGTGCGCACCGCAGAAGAGGGGAGGGTTTCTCCTTAGTGTTCCTGATTTCTGGGCGCTCGGGGACGCCCTCCTCCCCTTCCCCAGCGCGGCGTGTCTCGGAGCAGGGGCCGGGGGACCGCTCCTGCGCAACATGTTTCGGCGGCGATATCCGCGCCCTACCCTGAAGTCGGGCATGTCCCTCTACAGAAGGAGTACTCAAATAGTAAAGTATAGTCTGTGTGCGATTTTCGACTATGTTTTACTATTTTTTGGTATTTTGTTGGGTGTGTTTTGTATCTTTCGCCCCAAATCCGCCTGTAGGGGGACATGCCCGACCTAACCCTACCCCCGCCTCGAGTCGATGGCTTGCGGGGGTGAGGTTCGGATGTCGAAACCTAATGTTCTTTCTGGGCGGGCTACGGAGGACAGCGAATTCCTGAGCAGGCGCAGTTTTTCTAAGTGAGGGAGACGTGAGACTCGAGTCGGCTGGAACTCGGGGTTGTCGACGTCTTCGGGCGGGCCCATGTTGAACTTAGGCGGCCTAGTCTTCGTGGAATGTTTGCAGCGGATGTTCCGGCCCTGTCAGGCCAACCCGAGTCTCCCGTTCCTGGCCCCTTCCTGACCGGTTTCTGGCCAGGGCGGGGCTGCTCCGGGCCCGCCCGCTACGACCCCATGTGGGAGGCCTCCTGTCGTGTGCAACGCGAGAGGGTGATGGGTTCCGAGGGGGGGGCGCACCGGCCCCCCACTCGCTCACGGATCGCCGATGGGTGCCTGACAGCCCCCCTTCCAGGGGCGTGCGGTGTCGCAATCGGGAGCCCGTGGCCTTTCAATCGGCGACGCATCGCCGATTCCAGCTCGAAGTTCCCCCCCCCTCCCCGCCCTCCACCGAGCTGGTTCCACCCTCGTGGTGCCCCCGCTGGGTGAGGGGGCACGGCACCCCGCGTTTCTACGATTCTCATGTTGCTGAAGATGATGGCAGCGATGATGAAGATGCTTTGGGCTTTCGGTGGTGCCGATGATGACGACGCACATGACGCTTGCTATCCCAGGCTCTCGGGTACGGGCGCACTCTGGCCTGGCGCGCCGCTACTTTCAGTCGGTCGGGATCGGAAGACGCATCCACTCCATAATGTAGCCCATCGGGCCCCCGCGGTCGCGGGCGCGCCCAAGTTCAGGACATGGTAAACATGCCCAAACCTTTGGGAAGAGGCACGTGGTAGTATGTAATGTCCAAAACTGGTTGAAAAAATGATGACCCCCCCCTTCCCCCCCCCCGGATCCCGACCGCCATCACTTCGCACCCGAATAACTATGTTTTTTTCTGTCCCCCCTGGAAAAATCCATGGATGCCGATCGATGCCACTTGTATATAGCTCGGTACCAGGGAGAATGCCGATGTGACATTGTAGCTTGGTGTAGCCCCTCATGTCTACCCTGGAGGGCGCGCCGGCCCTCGTTGTAACCTGGTGTAGCCCCGCTTGCGTGGCCCAGAGGGGGGACGGCCTTCACCGTATCCTGGTGTAGCCCCGCAAAGTTGGCCCAGAGGGCGGTGCGACCTTCGCTGTAACCTGGTGTAGCTTTGGTGCGGGCTCGAACTGAGCGGCTTGCTGGGGTTTTTTCTGGCCTGGAGGGCGATCCGGCCTTCGTCGTAACCTGGTCTAGCCCCTCTCCTGTCCTGTTGCATAATATTTTCATCACATGTCGCCGGCCTGATGAGGCCATCTTGAGCCAACTTGGACCATATTGCGCCATCTTGGAGGCCATCTTGCAGCACTTGTGGCCCTCTCGGCACCAGAGGGCGTGCGCAAGGGATGGTCCCCAAGTGCGGTCTCTTCCCGCGCCAGGCTCGGGCGTGTCAGGCGTGGCTCGTTCGCAACCAAGACAGGGTGCGCGGTGCGCAGGGAGTGGTCCCTGAGCGCAGTCTCTATCCACGCTGGGGTCGCAGGGCATGGCAGGCGTGGCCTGACGCCAAGAGGGGGTGCGCAGGAATCTGCCCCTGTACGCAGGGCGCCAGGGCGGTCGCGGGGACGTCTCCAGCGATCCAGTTTTCCCTGCCTCCCTTTTTTTTTTCTATAGGCGCACTACAGCGCTGGGAAAACCATGCTTTCAACTGTCTCCCCAAAATACTGTTTGAAAGCAGTTCTTAGACATTAGTGTTTCTCATCAGTCAGCGGATGATCCTTGCTGAGGTAGCAGCGCGCCTGGTACTCGTTAGTTGAGTAGCGCCACTTCACGCGGTCCGAGTAATCCGGGAATGTGTCGCAGTACTTGGGTTTCAACCGCCTTCTCACGATACCCCATTTGCTTTCGATGGCGTTCATGGAGAATCCCTTGGCGCTCACGATCTCGCCATCATCGTGGTCCACTAGCTCGTGGCGCACGGTGTTTTGCGTGAGCCCCTTCTGGAGGCGAATGGCTCTCACGGATGATATGGTCGCGCCCCGTTTGTCCGAGACACAGATGTCGCGCCGGTCGTTTCTCTTGTCGGCTACGCCCAGCGCCGCGGGGCGCGGCTATTGCGTCAGTACGTTGTCTTCACTGCACGTCAAAGGGGCCGTCCCGGACGGAGCGGCGCCAGTCTGGGTTCGGGCTCGCAGCGTGGCGCCAGCAGCGCGTCACCGCGGCGGGCTTGGCGGGCCGAGGGAAACGACCCGCTGGGAGGCCAGCTTCTGCAACTTCTCCTGCGGGGGCGGGCGAGCCCACTGGTGCGTGCAACTCAACGGGTAACGCTGTCTAGGAGGAGCAGGGGAGAGGGGAAACAGGAGTCCGAAAGGCAAAGGTGGGTGAGTCTGTTCTCTGTGGCGGTCATTGGTTGTTTTTGTTTTATGGTTTGGGTTCCGCCTGCTCCTGTCTCGTTTGTTTGTTCCGCTTCCTCCTTGTTTGTTTCGATTCGACCTTATTTCGAGTTTCTGCTTGAGATTGGCGTTGGTTTCCTCGAGCGTTTTCGCTTTTTTTTTTCGGCCAGAAACCGCAGCGCGCTGACCAAGCCCTTGTGCTTGTTAAGGACGTTCGCGGCGAGGTCGGCCCGCCTGTTGGCCGCATTGGCATTTCCCAAGTACTTCGACACCTCCCACTTGAGCTCCCGAACCACCTCTTTGGCCTTCGCCACCCACACCGCGTTCACCCACGGCTTCTTGATCCACCGTTCGAACGAAGTCTTGCACTTCCGTTCGCGCGTCGCGATCGCCTTCCGCAAGCGCGCGGCGACAGATGATGCAGGCATGGCACGATCTGTCAGTCAAAGTTCGAGCGACATCCAGCGGTTTGAACAAAACTCCTACGTAAC